ACAGTTTAGCTTTGTGGAATCTGAAGGATAAGACTTTATATGTATTGATCATGTGATTTGGAAGCTAATAAATATATTTCTATGCAATTTATTTACTAAACTACTCTCTCACATTACATATATATATGACTGAACTTTCAACTACATTCACTTTTTATACAAATAAAAATTTTTTAGTCAAAAGGTGTTTTACATTTCTTTAAATGTTTTAATTTATGGCTTAGTTATATACATGACTTCTAAGCAGGAATCTGCAGATTATTTCATTAAGGTTTCATGATGACAAAAAATATTCTTGGTATTAAGGGACCAAACCCAAAAAACAAATGTTAAAACTGTAAATATACAGTGATATGTTTATTTTACTGTTTTTATGTATTTTTTTTTACTGTTTTCAAGGCTGCAATTTAAAAAAATGAAGTTGTCTAGAGAGCTGTTCTTAACTAAATTTCTTTTTGTTTATACTTGTGTGTACAGCATGGCAAAATAAAAAGTCTTATGAATCATAAACTGTAATGGATATGAAGTTATAGCTTTTAGAATGCACATTTAAGTCATTTTAGGAATTTGCCATTTTAGGTGCAAATCTGATGAGCATGAATGTGGCATAAAGCAGACGTCCGACTGCTCAGCAGATCTGGTCTCTAGACACATTTTGAAAGCAAAGACTATTCAGCAAATATATGTTTATATGTTCCCTTACTCCACAATAGGAATATAAAATATTCTACATTGTTCCTCTATTACGGCTATCTTTTGTTGGTGACCGACTTTATAAAAATTGTTTGCAACCAATCAAAATTGTATTGTAAACTTGAAACCCTTTTTTCTGTTCTTATTATGGTTTCCTTACCTACTCTAACCATGTTGTCTCTTTTTCCAGTTTTCTCTAATGACTTTGTCTCTAAGTTGCTCAAATTTCACTATATCTGAAAAGTAAATCAGATCCGAAATACATTAGGGTTTGAGGGAGTGTGTCGTTTCCTGCATCCATCACTTCCCCTTTATCTTGTGTGGCTTTTGCTGTCAGTCTGGATTTGTCTTTGTATAATTGATGCCTACCCTCAGGGGCTACCCATGCAGGCGAGTACATCCTGCCAGGACACTGGAAAGAGAACTTGACATCCGCCATGCAGATCCTCGCTGTCAAGTCTTCATCTATCTGGAGGAGGAGAGAAAAAAATACTGAGATGTCACCCTTTTCCTTGTTGTGTTCCTGTGAACACTTAGGCACTATAATAAATCAGTCATTTTATGCAACACAGTATTGTAGATCTATGCAAAAAATAGCAAGAGAGGAGTACTCTTCCACACACACAAAACAAAGATCAACTTGCAAGAAAAAAAATTTGCGATATTCTCTGATGTTGTCATTAATTTGAATTTTTTTTTCTAATTTTCCCTAATGAAAAGCATCAATCTGAGTCATAAAAATGGAATATTCAAAGACATTTTGAAGTCAGAAATTTGCAAGGAAAAAAAACAACAACACTCCATTGTAGGTATGTTACACTTGTTCTGACACAAAGCAGTTTAAATCTTTTACAGTGGCTATAGTAGCTGTGTAAACCTGCCTGGTTTATCAGATATCTCTTAATGCCAAAGTGCTCTGTCCTTTACAGACTTCCTGCTGCCAGCTAACCCTGCTAGCTGTCTGATAACTGGGCAGTCCCGGATATCTCTAGCCAGAGAGAACTTGTGATTCCCAGCATATTATTTACAAACCCCAGCTAGTTTTCACTAATGATTGAACATTACTACTCCTGGAGGAACACCAGTAGTTGCATTGTCATCAGAGAAAAGTGTTTAAGATGAGAAAATATATACATCCTAATACACTTTCCATCCCTTCAGGGAAACTTAACCCCTTTCTGAGCATACCGACACTGGTTTGATGAGCAACAGATGAAAATCTGACATAAAGTCAGGGCGAAAGAGGCATTGGATGTCGGAGTTTGCCCTAAAATCGAAGGACTGACGTTTCAAGCCCCGACCCCGACTTTCAGTGTCGTTGTGTCTTTGGGCAAGACACTTCACCTGCATTGTCTACTGATGGCGGTCAGAGGGCCCGGGGGCGCCAGTGTACGGCAGCCCAGCTTCTGTCACTGAGCCCCAGGGCAGCTGTGGCTACAATGTAGCTTGCCACCATCAGTGTGTGAGTGTGTGCATGAATGAATGTAGTGTAAAGTGCTTTGGTCAAGTCTCCTGACTTGAATAAAGGCATTATATAAGTACATGCCATTTACCATTATCATAAACCAAACATCAACGATTATATACTATCTGATTAAATTATATCCGTTTACCTCAAAAATAACTAACAGATTTCTGACACGATGTCAGAGAACATCTTATGTTCAATATTGTTAATTTATGTCTTTAATTAATGGAAGGTATTTTGTTTTTGCACATTTATGATGTTCTGACATCAGAGATAGGGCTGGGTGATATGGTCTTAAAATCTTTATAATGTCATTGGCTGATATCATGTTGATAATGATAAATGTGTGATTAAAACAACAACAACAACCCATTAGCTCTTTGCAGTCTCTGTGATACCCGTATGGCTGTGATTGCTGACCACAACAATCAAAAATAGTTATCTTGAAGAATATAAACACTTCAATTTTGTTTCTTCAGGACAGCAGTCACATAAAAAGTATGGTTTATATCACTACACATCTTGTAGTAATTGCACTTAATTAAATTTTTCCAAAACACCAATAAGAAAAAAAAAAAATGAAGGAAATAGCAAAAATACAAATTTTGACAATTCACCCAGTTTATGGAGATTTTGAGTGATAATTGATTTTAATGTAATATTTAGATGAAAGTGCAAAGACAAAATCAAATACAAGACAATATCAAACTTTTTTCATTCTATTATATTTAATTTAAACATTTATGCTCCTTTGCAGCCATTTTTTTCCCCTTCTATTTACAATGACGCTAATACTCCAGTGTAGATTTATAAAACTGAACTTCTGATGAAGAAAAATGTTTCTTACCATGATACTTTTACTGTTGAGATAATGGCGAGGGATCATAGGTTCAAGTGTGTGTAGGAAGGCCATTCCAGATGCAATGTCCAGAGCAAACTTGACTGCCTGTGTCTGGTCTACCACAAAATCTGGCAGTTGGATGAATAACAAGAAATTAAAGCTTAAAGGCTCCACCGCTTTAACCAAGTACCAGGCAGTAAAATAGATCAAATTTATAATAATTAACATAACAGACATATAAAATAGCACGCAAACCTACAAATTACTTACAGTACCTTGCAAAAGTATTAATTCCCCTTAAATATTTTACAACTTTTTCAACTTGCTTAACAACAAAGGATTTTATCCCAGTGACTGCAAGGCAAAAGTGAAGTTCTTTTATTTTATAATGCATCTATGTAGCTCTGTCTATTCAATTCCATTAATATACACTTTAAGTAAAGTGTGTACAGCAAAAAATGCAAGCCACTGAAATGAAATGGCAAACTGATCAGTGAAAATACTCACTAGTGCCTTCATGGAGCACATTGTAGAGGGAACCATAAGGCATCCAGTGTGTAATGATGATGGGGTGAGGGGAGGGAGGACACTGACATGCTCCCAACATAGGTAGAACATTTGGGTGGGAAAAAATCCTGGGAGTGAAACAAATGAGGTAGAGACATCGGAGAAACAGACAGAGGCAAACAGACAAATATCTTTACATCAACATTACTTTCCAGTGATTCACTTTATGTATAAACAACCCACAGGTTTGGCTCCACAAGATGAAAACAGACAAGGGACCACAGAAACAAAAAAAAATAAAAGATGATGAAATATTTAACTTAATAAGAACCTGAGTTTGGGATATTCCTCGTTGAAGTCTCTGCTCTTCCTTGCGGTCCAGTCCCGAATTTTTAGCACCTTAACAGCGATTTCATTTCCCTGCCAACGTCCCTTCCACATCTAGACATGTGAAATAAACATAGAGAAATCCGGGTAAACAACATGGGGTTTAATTTCATCATCAGTGGAGATATAGGTAAATAAAGCTAAGTAGAATACCTCCCCAGACTGGTTTTCATTTCTTTTTTCAGTGAGAGAAAGCTGTTTGTAGTCGATCCCCGCTTGTTTGTTTAAAGTACCGTTGCCTACAAACACAAAGCAGAGAAATAAACTTTACAAAAAGACCAGATATTAATCGTCACTTTGTTAACAAAACCATGGAAAGAAAAAAAGCCACTGGGAACAGAGCTGGGAGGATAAAGAGTAACATACATCCCCTCATTCAAGGCTTCAGCTAAACCAGAGGGTGGAAACTGGTCAGCTAATAAATGGTTCACATGTTTTTTGGGACTCACGCGGTCGAGTTCGGGTGGTGCCTTTCCAGAATGTGTCCTTGAACGGTATTTTATTTAAGTTCTGCCCCAATTTTTCAGCCTTTTCTGTAGAAATTGGAAAAGTCAGATTAAAACCAGGAAATCCTCCTATATTGAAATCTTTTTAAGTAAAAAATGTGACAATCTAACAAGTTGGGTTACCTCTTAGGAGCTCCCGCAGATCCGGTTTGGCTTTATCCATAGGCGTTTCTCCATATTTGTTACAGATGCTCACCAAAGAGCCGTTAATCACAAGGTCCTGAACAAAACAAAACTATGGTGAAAAACAATTCAAAGGCATTTTTAATTACCACCAGGGGGAGCACCTACCTCAGCCACTTGGTTATGTCCCCAGAAGCAGGCATAATGCAGTGGAGTGTTCCCGTGTTCATTGGCTGCATTGGTGTCTGCTTTGCATTGGATCAGCTAAAAGAAGAAGAAACAAAGGATTATTTCCAAAGGCAGATTATCTAGATCATATCTTGGCCTTATACAAACCTGCAACTGTGTAATGCTAAGAAACACAGAAAGTATTTTCTTGCCTGGAGGCACATACCTAAAGTATTGAGATAGATTTAACATCAAACACTTGGGATACATAGCAGTCATTTTAAAAGGCAGACATCTCAGAGTATACCAAATTTAAAATGAACCACCAATGATGTTTATCAACCTTTACTTCCACTCTATGGTGCATAAACTTAAAACAGGAAGACTGATCCAAAATACTGTTTATTCTCTAAAGGCGATTCATGTTCTGTCAAACATAGTGCTGCATTTGGACATGGTGGCCATTCTTTTATCTGAGGGAGATTAACTTTCTCTTTAATAAACATGGTTATTAGTGTTTTTGGAATACTAGCCAGGCTAATTTCTAACACAGGATGCTAAAGCTGGTCTAAAAAAAAATGTGAATCCCATTTTGCAACAGCTTCCCTTTTTTTTTTTTACACAGTATTGTAAACATGAATACTTTTAATCACATAGAAAGGAAATAAGAAGATAACGCTTTAAGAGGTTTTCTTCCAGGTGAATCTGAACTTGCAGAGGCAGGATTGGCAAATCAAGGGCCTAAAATAACAGATACAGGCTTAAAGCAGCACAGCTAAGGCTGGGTTATAGCAGCTGGTTTTTACATGAGAATGCAGGAATGGCACCAAACATGGAAAAAACAACAAAATCCCTGAATAATAATTTTACCCCTGATATAAACAGGCTTAAGTAAAGTGTTGAAACGAATGTCAAATTTGGAGTTTATTAGACAAAAACATGATAAGAGTATAGAACACATCCATAGAAAGATGAGTATTTCATAATGCGGTTTAATCCCCCCCCCATGGAACCAGAAGAAGACCCTGTTTTTATACCAAAACGATTTCTTTGTGGCTTAAACGATGTTCTAGCCACAAAGAGTGTGGTAAAAGCCATGCCTTTTAACCACACGGCTGTGGTTTCTGCTGATGAGGTTTGCAGCACAAGAATAGACAGGAACCTATGAAATGATGTTCAGATTACATCATTCAAGTTTTCACAATACCCTGAGTGGAAGAAAGTAGACTTGTTCAGACAGTGCATCATCTCACTGCTGTGTTTAAGAAACTGTTTTTAGTCATGGCTTTAGTTCGAGCTTAGTGAAAAACATACGACTATTTTAATCTCTGCACAAAGAGAAAACAACCGTGTTAAGAAACGTCATAAAAACCAATATATAATCATAAAAGCTCCCTCTGTGTGTTTGCATGGGCCCCACCTTCCCCACAATGTCTCGATGTCCATGACTGGCAGCTAGGTGCAGAGGCGTGTCGTCTCCACGGTTCATGACGTTGATGCGGGCTCCTCTCATGATCAGCATGTCCACCACATTGGAGCGTCCTTCCCTACATGCCCAGTGGAGGGGACTGAAACCATGATCATCTCTGTAACGGCAGAGGAACAATTGGATTCAAGAGTTTTGATAAACAGTAGGGTCTGTTGAGTTAAAAAAGTATTGATTAAGGTGCAAATCAGAAAGGTCAGGGAGGTCACTACCCTAAGTTATGGGGTAGGGTTAAGAAAGTTTAGCCTTTAAAACAATATCCCAACCTCTTAAAATTTTACATGGCTTTTTTCAACCCAACACTGAAAAAGTTTACGGCATAACTTCAAATCTATAAACGTGACCAACGCCCTGAACTGATAATCTGGGCATTATGAAAGAGCCACAAAAATTCACAGCTCAAATCAATCTGTTAAAAAGTCAACTGTAAATTTTGGATTCCACAAATCTAAGTGGAGGACATAAGTAGCAATTTTACATTTTGCTTATAGGAAGTAAAATCTGGGAAAAACAAAAGATGAAAGATGTTCTGATGAAACATCTAGTCATTATTCTTGACTAATACAGAAAAGTATTAGTCAAGAATTAAGAAAAAACAAACATTGTGGTGCAAGCATTATGCTGTGGGGACACGTTTCTTGAGTAGCCAAAGGAAAACTGATTGGAAGAACATAATAAAAGGAAATGCTAGAAGAAAACCAGCTAAAGACAGCAAAAGATAGAGGGTTCACCCTGATATAGACAAATATTTTCATTTCTGGACGTGTAAAAATGGTGGAGACCTTTTCTATTGTTTGCAGTGAAAGGTGATTTGGCAAAGTTACATATAGCAACACACAACCAAAGATTTTTAGGTTTTCAGTGGAGAAATACATGAAACATAATCCTTTGACTTCATAATATATGCACTGTAATATATACTGAAATAAGTTAAATAGGTTGAAATACGTTACATAGAAAGCCTTTATTTCAGGCTTTCTATGTTCCAAAACAGTCTATTTACTGAAGGCTTTGTATTTCAAACAACTCCTATCGTCGAAAGAAAAAAGAAAATCTGTTACTTTGCAGCTTTTCTTCTTTTAAAGGATCTTGCTTTGAGAGAGAAAACAACAAGAACTCTAACACTCATCAATCCTCCTTGTCACGCAGACATTGGCTTCAACATATCAAGGACGGTGGCCTCAATGTCATGATAGACGCTGACAGAACGCCACCTCGCTGACAGAGAGATAAAGACAAAGAGATTAAGAACACGGTACATCTGGGTGACCGAGTGTCAATCAAGAAAAGCTCAAATGAAAAAAAAAAAAAAAAAAAACTTTACCGAAGTCCTTTTATGGTCTGATTAGACTTCCTACATCAGAGCTGCTGAAACAAACTGGAGCTTCTGTGTAGACTTGTAACTCCTCATTTCTCTTTTCTCCAGTCACATCCTCCTTTCTAATGAAGTGTCCTCCCTTTGTGAAATGATCCACTCCTACACCCTCTCCCTTGTTATATAAAGTTAAAGAACACAGAGCATAACTTTCCTTCACTAGCTTGAGACCACCAAAACAGCTCTGTGCTTAGAAATCTATGCACATATCCTAAAGTTAGAAAGGCAGAAAATCAAAGGATGTGAGAACTGAAGAGGGTATTATAAATTTGCAGCAATTTGAGCCTTTCACCTCCACCCTAAACATCAGTTCACCAACTTGATTCAAACATCCTGTAGAGCTCAACTCAAAATGGCCTCAAGAGACCCACAGAGACCCTCAGTCCCCAAACAGACAGCTATCTGTGCGACCTGCTGCAATCATACCAGATCTACTCAAAGGGCAATTTCCTCTCAGACCAAAAGGCCAAATCCAGAAGGCTAATTACCCTTTACTGATGAAAAATACTCCCCACAGGTCCCAGAATTTTATTAGCTTTCTGGGTCACAATCCATTCTTTTTGGGGTGGGGAGGTAAAGTAGTGAAGTTAATAGCTGTGTTTTCTGAAAGCACTTTCTACAAAACATTTCCGGCAATATGATGGTTATGATTTAAACTGAGAATGTTTTTACTGGTGAATAAATCAATAATTTAATGTCTAATTTTAATACTGACTAATAAAATGTTGTAATATGAAAATTTTTTAATGTATTTGGATCTATATTAGAGATCAGATGGACCACAGCACTGGTCACAGAATTCATTTGGCTTAAAAACATTACAAAGAGAATCAGGACAATATTTCTAGTTTCAAGACCAAAATATTCTCAGAAAGAAGTGGCGATAAATTCCAGGAAGACCACTCAATACTTCTGTTAAGACAACACTGTTTTTAAACTGCAGATGTCCAGCGAAGACCTTTCTCCCAGTTATTAGTAGAGGTGTGGGGGGAAAAAATAGTTTTGGCAATATATATTGTTAATTTTATCTGTCTAATATAATATCCATCTTTTTGTTTCTAGTATCAATTTTTAAAAAACAAAACATTTTTACCACAGTTGAGGCAGTCACAGTAGAAGACTTGGACGGACTCAAACCCCAAACAACATGGATACCAAAAATAACTAAATGAGCAGTATCTTCTGATAAACATATACAGCACTTGCTTTTTTATCTATATATTTAATTTTAATAGCTGGGAAATATATAGAAATATAGAGATATATTGCAACAGTGTGATAATATCATATTGTGACACATATAGTATTGCAAAACCCATGCCAATACTCGTCCTTAGTTATTAGCCCTTTAGTGCTATTTTTAAAAAACAATAAATTTACAGAAAATCCAGAGTGGTGCAAATTAAAGGTGGGGTATATGATCCTGGATAAACGGTTCCTGCCAGCTACATTTTTGAAAATACACACCTTCAGCCCACCCCACGAAACCACGCCTCCAAATTACATGAACGCGCCTGCTTACCTATCGAGTAGAAACAAGGCCACCTTAGCATCCGTCTGTAGTCCCCTGTCTTCTTTCAGTTGAC